CTTGCAAGGCTTTGTCAAGGCTCGCCTGAAAGCAGCATCAGACTATTAGGTCTGACCTTATTTAATTAACGAACAACTGTGGTCCGACCGTTTAAACGAAAACGGCCAAGGTGTTGTGGCACTCGGCCTTGAGTTATACCAGGATAACAGTATTTTTTCTCATAAAAACCCAGGCATTTAAAAGTGGTGTAATCAGGGGTTTTCTTTCAATCGGCTTTTAAGAGCACATTCTTGAATCCCTTAAAACGAGTTTTGATTGGTTTTTAATGGACAAGTCTATTTGCACCTTGTTTTGACTCTGAAATTGCTATTTATTATTTTGTTCCCATTTGTTTACATAGGATCATTGGCATCTGAAATGTAAAAAACATGGAAAATATGAAATGTCTTCCCTAACCTACAATTGATATAGTTGGGAAGACAATTTCAATATTTTTAACGTATGTGCCTGATCGATGATATAGGACACAGTCTTGTTGACTTTGGTCGAAGATACGTTAGAAAATGTCACTATCATTCACTGACTGAAAATGAAGGAACAATATATAAACATAAATCCGAACTCGTGTTACACAATCGCACCATGACGGTTAGTTGATGCAGATTTTCGTTACAAGACCGCAAATCGTCCACACGCATGTAGGGAGCTTTCCACTTACAAACAAAACTCGCTTGAACTCTACTTCCGGATTCGCTTAAGCTGTCGCTTGAAACATTTCAAAATAAAACTTACTTCTTTTATTTTTACAGAACTTTATGCCCAATGGAAATATTCGTTTATATTATTATGATATACAAAACATTGCATTAAAATATTAAATGTATGCATCCTCAATAGAAAGCGTCCAATTAAAAATAATCTAATTTCGTGATCAAAGCTTTGTTAGCTTAACATTAACACTGTAAACATTATTTGCAATAGCTTAAGTTACTATTTTTACTTTATAAATATAATTTTATTCAAGAATAAGCTTTTGATAATATTATTGGAGATGTTTGAGTTTTCTGGAGAAACATGTAAATGCTTTTTATTTTTTCCCAATTCCAAAGAAATTATGTTGAATTGTCGAATAAAATGTTGTTTTGAAAAAAGCAACTAACACGTGCACGTACCCGATGACAAAAAAGATCTTCGGGAGTGCCACAGGGATCTGTTCTCGATCTCATTCTATTAATATTTGAGTTTTTTTCGTAATTTTCATAAAGATTTTTAAAAAATCTTTGCTATGTCTAAATATACACCAGAATATCACTATACGTTTTATTGAGTGAATTTCCAAGTAGTAGTATTTCAGTAGGAAGGCACTCTAAAATAGTCATAGAATGGCCCTATCATTTGTGGGCACCTGTGAATCTCAAACAAATATTCTGTAACTCGAATTAGTCTACTTTACATCGACTTACCAGAGACGAAGAACTCGACATTTGGGAAAACAAAATTGTCTGTGTAGTTTAGGTCCAGTAAAGCAAGACCCCGTCTGAGGTCGGTTACGTCAACCGTCACCGAGTATGGCTCCCCAAGTAATACTGGCGGTTTGTTGAACACCACACAGTGGTCATGACTAGCGTTACGCCACGGACGGTACAGAAGGTCGTCTGCTTCCGTAGCCCAAAGTCGAAACTAAAAAAGTACATTTGATATGCGTGTATATGCGAGATTAAATAACTCTGAATAGTGAAACAACTGATTTCTATATCATTAACTTCTTTGTGTGTGTGTTCAAGAACGAAAAAGTAACATTTTCCAAGTTACTTATATGAAAAAAGACACCGTTGCGATTAAAGGCAAAATTAGCTGCTTCTTGTACAAATTCCATCCAGACGAAGGTATCTTTGTATCGAATCTTTCAAACAAACTTTAATTAATCTCTTGACAATCAGTAAGTCTGCCTCAGACCAGAAACATACCATTTTTGTGGAAAAATAATTAACGCCAGCGTCAGATAACGGCCATTGCTTCTTCCCCATTGATACAATAACATCATGAGAGCGCCAAATATATCATATAGATAGTATGCAATAAGACTAGCTTCAAAACCATTCGCTTTCATACTATGCGATTAACTTTGCTCATGTTGTTTAAAACTTCAAAATTGATGACAGTTATCACAGTTCTAACAATGCCTCGATCGAAGAATGACAGTGCATCCATGTTTAAAAGTGCATACGTCACATGAATGTCAATATGAACAGCGTAGTTGCGGCACCCGGTCTTTTACCAACGGTAATTTTGATTTAGATATTTCAGTGTAATTATGAAACTGTAACTCTTTATGATAAGCTGTCAACTCAGTAACTAGAATTACACGAATTATGAGCTTGGTTCTCTACAAGTTTAATAATAATTTAATCACATTTAGTTTTATTTTCTCTATTTTTATGAAATTTCTTCAGAATTACACAAGACATCAAACTGGCGTGTATGCTGGACTGTGGCGTCCATTGACTTGTTAGCAAAAAAGTAATATAAAATGTAAAACTAATTGGTATTCAAAGTTATACTACCTGTCAACATTTTATATTACCCGATATCCAGACAGTTGATATCGTTCTTCATAAAATCTAACAAATAATAATAATGGAAGTCCGAACCATTCATGAGTTGATATATACCGCGGAAATATCCACACCACTTACACAATGCGTGCCTCCCTGCACCATAGCGGAGTCAGCATACAGACAGAAACTGTCCCCAAGAGCATTGTAGGTGATGTTGAAGGGCCCAGGATTTGGGTTGTCGATAGAATACACCAATGAGTCGTCCATATCGAAACATATTGATTGGGTGGTGCTATTGGCGGCAAAACATGTGATGGGCCCCGCCCCTTGTGTTGTCAGGTCGTGAAACGTCTGTGTGGTGGAGCCGGAACACTGGACATGGAAGTCACCTGAAATACAAAAACAAAATGAAAAAAAAGTTGAGGACATTGCTGCACATGTATACTCCATAATCAATTTATCTCTAAGAGTGTCTGTCAATCAATTGAATTGTATGATGGTAGCATTGTTGTTTAAGTGACGAGGTACAAGCTTTATTACGCCAACACGCAATGTTCTTGAACCAATGAGAGCACGACCTTCTAGAGAGAGGCGAGTAAAATAGTTTCAAACCTCTCTGACTGTATACATTTCCACAAGACATATACTGTTCATATGATCATATCCGAAGGATTGTCGTAATTGTACATCTTTTGTTTTCTTTAAATCATTATTTATGATTTTTACTTCTCCAGAACGTTTTGAAATACTCCACGATGTGTAGGCCTGGTTTCAATCAAAATTTTACTCGAATTAATATTATTCATATCTTACATGTTCAGTAATGAAGTTACTGTTTTTGACTCAAATAATTCTAGTTATTATAAATTCAAAGCAAAATTAAATTTATTAACAATAAGGAGGAATACGATAAACGCCATCAACTTTTATAAAATAGTTTAAGAGATACATCACGCCCAAGATCTTTGACCAATGTTTCCCATTAGAGATCAGAAACAATCTTTTGGCCTAGAGAAGTACTGTTCTAAATTAAAACTATCATTTTTAGTTATTTTTCGTGGGTGGGTAACCTGCCCAATGAAGGTTAGAGGTTTCGGTCACCTCCTACATGTATCAGAGTGGTTACCACGAGGGAGCTTCATCACTTCGGTTGCCTGTAAAGATTGATCGGAGTGGTGGATAGTTCTTTCCTCTTAACGTATAAAACGTGTGAATGATGTCTGAATATATGTTGCAGGATATTTTAGCAGTATTTTTAAAAGTCAAGATGTGGTCTACCTGATGGCTTTTATAGTGTTAAGAATTGCAGATTGGCTTACACATGTAAACCTTCTGAAAAGGATTCCCAACACCACCTTTCTCCTGAATACGTCCGCGAAAACGTGTTTACATACTTTGCTGGCTCTTACCAGGTACATATCTGATTTATTGTTCTCTATAGTCAGTTTCACAAGCAACCTCTCAGGCCATTGTACACTTACTGATACTGATTTAGATCCTTTGTAATATATTTTTGTACCATCTGCAGATCATATAAAATGGAAAAAAACGGCTTCTACCAAGTCATATACACAGGTAAGGACCAAATCGCCCCGATAGCACCTCCCTGCGGGATCAAATTGGTCAAGATGTTTGAGCTCGATGCAGTTTCATTGATAACGATACTGCGCTTCATATTACCCAGATTGTTTTGTCCAGTCATTCATACATGCATTTCCTTTGATGCTGTGCGCTTTCAACTTGTAAAGAAGAAGCCATTGTGAAGACATTGATGAATACATTTCATCCTTACCCATGGCAGTCGTCAAATCTTCCGGAACCTCAAGTAGATGTTCTGCGTATGATTGTCCAAGTCTAAAACCGTGTTGACGCTGTTGTTAATCATTCGTAGAATAATTTTATCTTTAAAATGCGCTTCAGCAATTTACAATGTACCGAGGTCCAGCTGATGGGTAGATTATTTCTCCCCAGCTTGATCAAACCCCTTTATGTATTGGACAAGACGTTTGGTGGTTTCCTTTCTGTGAGTGTTATGTCTTCACGGATGAATTTATTGCAAACCAGTTTCAAAATTCAGATTGGATGTTTTGTGAAAATGTTTGGGATGCTAACTGTTTGGTCCTGCTGAGCTATCTAAACCTAGATTGATTAGCCTTTCAACATATTTCGTTGTCACAACGATGTCAGAGCGAGTGGACAGGGAATAATTCTACATCTTCTACAAGACTTGGTACTAGACGTTTCCTCTCGCCGTTTAATTTGATCACGCAACTTTTGTGATTAAGGATTTGGACTTTATTTTGAATTTTAACAAAACTGTTTTACTTTTGTCTTTATGATAATTTTTCTCTCTCGTGTTTTTGAAGGGATCTACGTATATAAGAAATATTAAGATTCCATGTAGCCTTGAGTTCTCTGTAAATTATAGTTGTTTGTTAGTGTTTACGAACTTGAGCAGTTTGATCCTAGCTAAATGACTCTATAAATATTGAATATCGGTTACTCTTGTATCTTAGTCTCGCTTTACTAACTAGTATTGTTTCGTGAATACATTATTTAGCGGAACAGTAAAACAATCAAATTAACAGTTGTACTGTCGATTGAAGTGGATCGATACTTTTTAGTTGTATTATGTGAATATCGATTTTTGTTGTTGTGATATGTGTGCCCTGTAGTTCTGTTGACACCAGCCTGGTGTGAACTTTAAACATATGAATTACTTGGATCTGACCTAGATTAAATGCTGGTTGTTGTCAGTGAAACAGAATAAGCTTAACCTTCCTGAACGCTTGTTCTCATTGCTCGTTTTCAATAGTCTCCATGATAACCTTTCTTGTTTCGTTCGATTTTGAGGTCAAATTACGGTTAGGTGTTCCCTGTTTGTGTTTTCCCCAAGAGATTAGTCTTGAAAAGTTCTTAGTTTCCGTTTTTGAAGTTTGGTTCGTTCAAAAACATATTGTTTATGTTGCTCTTTGAAATATTATTTCAAAAGACATTTTCGCCTAGATCTTGTTTGTACATGTAGCTTACGGTATAGTCTTCGCCGTTTTCCCCCTCTTCGGTTAATTGGTGGTATAGTAACGTAGGTATATGGTCCTCTTATTGTGTCGTGAATTGAAATACATATTGGAACAAGAAACAGTTATTAATTCTTTCTGAAAAAAGTCATTGCTACTCAGTATGCCAGGCTGACGTCACTATAAACATTCTTGTCTAAATTATCGCCCATTCCTTCTGCGTCGCAGGCTATGGGTGACCTTATATAGATTAAAGTGTTTTTTGGAAATGGATTATGCATGATAGGTTTCCACTAGTACGTCATTAAGTTCATAGAATTAGTGTTAAACATGGTATTGAGATTCAACAGATAGATCCTTCTATTATGACATTGTCGGCAGAGAGAAAGTCCGCATTGGTGTACAAGACTTTCAGGTTCCTCTTTCGATTCTCTTTCTCATTGAAAAACTGTATTATCCTAGAACCTTTCTACTTTTTAAGAATGAGGTGCTTCTTCATTGGCTATATACAACATTCCTCTTAAAGACTAAAGTTTCTTGAAATGCTATATGATGAGTTCTGATTTTAGTTGGTATTTTGGCTCTTGGGATCTACCATTGAGTCATTTGTATACAAAAGTCACGTTGGTTCTCGTTCTATTCTCGTTCTATTGGGCTGGGTACCACTGCCACTGATGGTGCTATTGTAGCTAGACGATGACTTCCATTACTGAGATGTGTTTTGATTGGAGGTTGTTGCTGGCAGAGTGTCTCGGGTTGTTAATTGCCTGTCCATGCCTACTATTTCCCTTACTTGTTCCCTTCTTTTATCTGCTTTGAAATGTTTTCTTTCTGCTCTCTGTTCTTTGGTGAGGTATTTCGCCACACTACTTTGAGAAGATGTCTCGGTCGGCACACCCTTCATCATGGCTCAACACTTTCAATGATATAATGTTCTTTTTACCCTTTTCCCAAATTGCTATCCTTATTAGACATTTGTATGATACTAAAAGAAAGTAAAACTAACACATTTTACTAATATAGAGGACCC